CAGCCTTAGGTCACACGCCACGAGCCCTTTGTTCGGCTTCTGAAGGGGGAGATCTAGACCCCGACCTTCCGGGTAAGGACGCTCCGATGCAAAATGGAAATCCCGCTCCAGACTCTTTGCTGTGTTTCTCGAAGCATCGTTCAAAGTACAGTAACTTGGGGCGACTGCCGAGGCTGGACCCCCGAGTTGCTTCAAGTCGTGGCTACTTGCCGCCGATACGAGGAAGAGCCGCAATGGCAAGAAATCATGTTGTGATCGTGGGTACGAGAGCCACACGATACAAAGTTTTGGTTCTGCCCACAGACAACCGAGCAGACAAGCCCGATAGACGGGGGAAGATGGACGGCCTTGGACCCTGAAAGAGGCCATGGGTGACGTGGTGAACAGGGGTGGCAGGGGATTGTGCCCTTTTGGGAGGGAGGGAAGGATCCAGCGCAGGAGCTCTGAGACGAACGGCCCGGCAGAAATTACTGACGCGGTCAAGGCCATGCTCAGGAATGAGCGAGGCGTCGAAATTTACATGGTGGAGATGGGATAAGGTTGTGCGTGTAAGACGTGCAGCTCGTACACTAGTGAGTGTAGGTAATCAACCAGGGACGGCGGAAGGGGAAAATGATCTGACGTATGGTGCATTAATGCAGCGACGCGGAGCATGTTATGCAAACTGGCGGTTGGTACTGGCGCTACTGCGTAGTTAGCCAAGGCTGGGCCGAAACAGTTGAGGTCGTGCTTCAGTGATTTGGAGTACCTACCTAGTGTAAATACGCGTGGGTGCTGCACGGTTAGTGCGGGAGGTCGGACGGATGGGGCGGGCGTGCTCCAATTGTTCTGCATGTGGTTGCATCTCCATGACGCCGGTTGCAGCCAATTCAGGTACGGACGGATACATGGGGTGAAAAAGAAGAAGAAGATAAAGAAAAAAGAAAACGCGTGCGGGATCAAGGTTAGGCTCGGTGGACTAGCAAGATGGACATATCCTCCGCAGACCGAGGCGAAGTAAGTGGCAGAGAGGGCAGACATGCGATGCACGAGAGCGCATCAACCAAGCCTCGCGATTTGCCCTAGACGGTCCTGAAATCGGCAACGTGTTTGCAGTTACACGTACGTATCTTAATTTGGGCTGAGCGGGTGTAGACGGGACTTCTGGGCATGGCATGCCTAGACAGACACCGTGATGCCGTGGTGTGGTTTCGGCCGACGATATCAAATCATGGAACAAAGAGACGCCAGCAAAGCGAAAATGAGAAGAAAAAAGAAAGAAAAAGGAAGGTATATCCGTAAAGGATCACGTGACAGGAGCGAGGGTCTACACTAGACGGCCGCAGTTGGAGAGGATCGTGGATACGATGACATGGCAGCGGCTCCCCTCCTTGGATCGAGTCTCTTTCAAGTCGCTCCCCACCCTACCTATTGCCGGGACTCTGGGGTAGAGAACAAAGAACACATCGAGAGAGAGAGCCTCGGGGACGCGCAAATCCCAGGCGTGACTGTTGCAAAGGAGGGGGATATGTCGGTTGGCGTGGTTGTGGCTGGGTTACCTAGTGTGATGCTAGACGCTAACAAAATTAGACAGACATACGGAGTGTAGGTAGGGGTCTCAGCGCACACCACAATCAATCAATCAATCAATGGCAAACCACGATCAGTGTCAGTGTCAAGGTCAGGGTCATTCATCTTTGGAGGGTGAAGTGGCTTAGGATCGTCCGGGGGCGGACGGCTTGATTCGCATATCTGTACGGATAGTTGTGCTCTGCATCAATTTCGACGATCGGTATCCGCCAAGCATCCCGTTGTCAAAGACACACACCATCGTGCTATGCTACATTGTAGGTGTGTACGGTATTTCTCCCATGCACAAAACATTCCTAGGTAGCCGAGTCCGACGGTCCCGTCCATCGTCGGACGCCATGGCCGTCGTTGGAGAAGAGATTTCATCTGCAAAAGTCAGATAGGAGTCCCCGAAATGTGAGGAGACAAGTATCCGTACTGGGGCAGGTACCTGGCAGGTTCCCCACCCAGCTCCTGATCACCACACCGGACTGACTGCACTACCTACTGTACTACTTACTTACATACCTGTAGTATTTCCTCGTATGTATCCGTAGGTAGGTACGGATAGGTCGGACCCTGTTCAGGCTCCAGCTCAGCCCAGGTTTCTGTGGACACCGCGCCCCCACTCTCTCCATCCAGAACACCATGACACCAAAATTAGCAGTCGTCAAGTCTGTCGTCACCCACGGTGAGCAGCGAGAGAGGAGCCGGCCGGGATGGCCTTGGCCGGCTCGGGAACCATCAGGGGTATTGAAAAACACACACACAAACACACACAAAAAACACAACGCAACACCGAGGGGGGGTGGACAGGGGACGCAGCACAAGAGCCAATACCAAGACAGACAAGCCTGAGTAGCATGTGCGAGTGATGGTCGTTTTTTTGAGGAGAGGGGTTCGCTCGGCCTACATACCCGTATCCATCCATGTGGCCCATTGGCGAACACCACCAGTCAGCAAACAATGCATGCCGATGGCACCATCTGATCGGCCATCAGTGTGACGAAGCCGCCATTCCTGATGTGTGCATGGATGGTACACTGCATAGTGGTTTGGAAGCACAAATCGGGGGTTTCCTCTTGCGTCTGCGTGCGTGCACCATCCTCTTTCCTGGCTGTGTCTTGTCTTTTCCCCGATTCCATCTCTGCTCGCTCGGATAGGCAAAGAGGCACGCGGGGTGGAGGAGCTATCCGCTGCCCTCAGCGCGCTGCCTGCTCACACAACCAGTGGTTTGAAAGTCAGACGAAGGATGAATGAGAGCAAGTGAGATGAGACGGTGATGGGACGGCAGCGTCAGCATCAGTAATGACATTGTCACGGCACCAGCATCGGCAGAGGAGACCCAAGTGCCGCTCACGACTCGGCAGCAGTCCAACGTCATCCCGCCATACGCCGGTGAAATTTATTACCAGTCCCTGAGGCGTGTTATGATCCGAGATCAGGGAACAAGCCAGCAAAGAAGAAGGGGGGCATCGGCAGGAACAATGGCTGCCCGAGCATCGCATCGGCTATGTGTTTGCGGGTCTGATGCGAGCGTCTCGTCTGCACCGGATGGCTGGAAACGAATCTGCCAGTTCACCGCGGGTCTTCCTGGAAGCCCGAGACTGGGTGGGATGTTGGTTGTTGCGTCAGCCATTGTCAAAGCATACATGTGTCAACTTGGTGGTGGCGGAGAAGGTGGTCGGTTCGCCGAGGATTGATGTGGCATGACTAAAGAGCGCTTGCTTGCTTGCTGTCTTGTCGTCGAAACGTGCGTGTGTGTGGTTGTTGTAAGATGGCGGCTTTGCTTGCTCAGTACGTGTGTCATGTTCCATGATATGATTTAGACTCAACACCCGTGAGTATGTCGGTAGGTAGGTAGGTAGGTAGGTGGTGCACTAAAAATATGCAGGCATTGCAGGCATTGCATGCAGAGCAGAGAAGAGCAGCACAGGCGGCATTTCGGCCTCTTTGTTTTGTGCCCGTATTTCCAATATTTTCGTCTTCTTTCTCGCCGCCATCTCTCCCCAGTCTCCCGCCCCTGTCCACAACATGGGGCCCCCTTGCCCTCCTTCTTGCAGATACACTAAAGAGCCGAGTAGCGTACAGTAGTGTACGAAGCAGTGTGGATACTTGGTAGAGAAGGGGAGGGCTTCCACCCGTTTCCCTTGCCGTATTGCCTGCCGCACGTATTCGTAGTGAAGTGCCATGACCGCCATTTTGCCTTTGGTACGGATATTGTGGGAAAACTCCAGTGTTTATTGATTCCGTCCTCCTCACCCCTGGACGACGGGGGATAGAAAGACAAACAGGGAGGGAGAATACGAATCCCGCCAGACACGTACGCCAAGGTACAGAGGGACCAAACCTGAAGGATCGGTTGGCGGCAATGACATAAAGGTCTGTCTGATATGAGAGAAGAAGAAAGAAAGAAAGAGAGAGAGTTGAGGATTTTTTTTTTTTTTCAAGATATGGAATTGGGAAGTCAGGTAGGAAGGTAGGTAGATACCTGGGTACTTGGCGGATACATGTCGGTGGGTCGTTCTTGTTCTGGGAGAGTAGGGAGGAAGGAACGCTTTGGGGGCTTTGGGCTTGGGCTCTCCTCATCCTCACCCCCCCGGAACAACACAACATGCTGCTGCATTGCTGTGCATATCGCGTCAACACGGACCATTTCGAATGGGGAGGGATCCTCCACCAGCGCAGTGCCGTCAGGTTCCGTCCACGTCCCAGACCTTCCCAGGCCTCAGCCCACTTGAGTGCATCGCCCACCGCCCAACTTCCCTCCCAAAACCGGGAATCCACCCAGCTCACGGAAGACAAGATTTAGGCATGAGGTACGTACCCCTTTGTACTATGTCCTACCTTACGGATACCTAGCTTAGGTACCTAGGTAGCTCGCAGCTTCCCGCTCTTTGCGACTCGTTTCTTTTCCCAGCCAGCCCAGCCCGACTCGGGGCTCAGCCTTACTTTGCTGTTTCTCCATCCTCGAACCCCCTTTTGACTCCTTTTGACTGTGTCCAAGGCACCAAGGTAACCAGGTAGGTACTATGTAGGTAGTTGGTTGTGTACTTCTTAGTGTACCTACCTAGTTTACTACCTACGTTGGCTTCCTCCACACCTTGCAATTCCCATCTCGAAACCCACTACATACATATACCACCCCGACCTCCCCTTCTCTGCCCTTGCCCTCCTCACTCACTTCTCCAACTCGCCTTGCGTGATACCTTCCCTTCACCTCGAGCTGATTGCCGCCAGTCACACCCGCAATAAACACTCCATACGAATATGAGCAGCACCCCCTACTGCTCAGGACCGAGGACAGGAAGAGTTGGCTCTTACGACCTTCACCGCCCACGACTGCTCCGATCCACGAACATATAATCGCATTCCGCCCACACCTGCCCCTCTGCTCTACTGCCGCGTGCCAGACAAGGACCAGAGACAACTTCAGAATCACCTACCTCAAGATGGGCAACATGGCGAGACAACTCCAGAACCACCCCGACTACTCGGATGACGAGTACGGAGCCGAGGACGCATTCTTCACTTACCGTCCCCTCTCCAACCTTCCTACCCCGCCACCTTCTTCCAGAAACTCTTCCGCCCACCAGAGTCCGAAAATGACCTTGGAAGACGGAGAGGTCCTACACGAGAGGTTTCTCGGTACGTACACAATACACAATGATTACGCGACGAGCGAGACGGAAGAACATCTCACCACCCACCCATTGGCGCACTTGATGCCATAGGCGGGGGAAGAAGGGGAAGACAGCTGCTCCAGAGTCGCTTCGATGCAATGCAATATACCATATGCAGTGTAATGCTAATATGTCTGCGTGCTTGCAGGCCCCGCCATCCACCTCGTCAACCTCATTCCCACGTCAGCTTCCCTCACAACCCCCTCGGTACCCCTCGTGCAGGCCATGCTTGGCCGGACCGGCTTGCCGCTCGAGACCATTGCCTTGGCCGCGTGCATCCTCGACTCTCTCAACTCCAAATTTGCCCTGAGCTGGCGTCTTCAGTGCCCCCTGCTTGTCGAGAATGCCCTTCCCGCCAACAAACGTCACACCCTCGGCCACAGTCCTCTCCTCGACCGCCGCCGCCAGCAGCAGATGCACATCGACTCGGTCCAACCCGAGCTCATCATTCTCGCCGCCCTCGTCATTGCTGCCAAGTTCACCGACGACTGCCACGAATCGACCCAATCCTACTGCGCCAACTGGGGCAAGGACATCTGGTCGTGCAAACAGGTCAACGTAACGGAGCGCTGCATCTGCGAGAACCTCAACTACCGCATCAAGCCCCTGGTCGACGACGAGGAACTGATCGCCGACACCATGGTTGATATGCAGCTGGCCGCCCGCCATTATAACTCGTCCCGGCCCGTCCAGCCCCACGAGGCGGGACACAGCAAGAGCAAGAGCATGACCTTCGGCACCGCCGTCGTCGGCCTGGGCCTCCAGCTCACGCCCCTCGACACGCCCAAGTCCGAGGCTGGCTCGTTTGGCGACGAGGTGCGCGCCGCCCTCGAGAACGCGCCCTTTGACGGCGACTACACGCCCCCGACCTTTGCTGCCAACGACATGGTCCTGCCTCCCGCTGGCGAGGAGCTTAACGTTAAGTGAAGGAGTGGCGAAAGAAAAAAAAACGAAGAAAAAGGCAAAAGGAAATCTCAGCAAGCGAGCGAGCGTTTTTGTTTGGTTTCCACCAACGTTTGATATGCATGCCCCTCATGGGAGGGACTCCACGAGGAGCGCGGGTGACGAGAAACGGTTTAACGGTACACATCTGCATGAGGCATCCACCCCACCACCTGCTTGTATTGATGGGGAGGTGGAGGCGGCATCGACTCTTTTTTCTCTTTCTTTCTCTTCCTCACTCTGGAATGGCCTCAAGTTTCTTGTCGTTTTAGGATACCAACACCTCGGCCTCGACGAGGCTTGATGGATATGCATCTTTGTAATCTTTATCTTCTCTTGGATGGACTGGGGGTGGGTGGGGAGGCCGGCGTACAAGGACAAGGCGGGTTCCTCACTGGATTGGGGCATTGGGAATTGTGGCTTTTCGCTTTATTTTAACATACCCTATTTGGTAATGTAGTCTCTGAAGAAAGACAGCGTTGAGTTTCGCACGTCAAACATTGTTTCAGTCGGGGTTGAGCTGCCTCAGTGATGTTAATTGTCGGTTTTCTTCTTTCCTTTTCGTAGTCTGGGTTGAAGCTGCGGCCCCCCGAGAGGACTTGGTGAGGCGGTTGAGGGTCTAACTTTTGATTGGATATACGCGATGCGGATGTCCTAGAACCCAACAGAGAGAGAGAGAGATGCCTGTCGGGTAAAAACGTCGGGCATGGCAGCTCAAGGGCTCAGCCTGTTGACAGTCCACTTTTCCTCCTCCCCGTGCTCGCCGCCCTCGACCTTGTCGTACACGAACCGGTCGTGCAGCCGGTTCTCCCGGCCTTGCCAGAACTCGACCCTGTCCGGCACGATGCGCAGCCCGCCCCAGAACTCGGGCACGGGGATCTTGTCCTCGCCGCGGAATCGCTCCTCGACCTCGCGGACCCACCCCTCGAGCTGCGCCCGCCCGTCGTCCGGCCCGCCGTCTTCGCCCTCGGCGTCGGGCCGGGGTTCCAGCACCTGGCTCTGTCGGCTCGCCCACGCGCCCAGCCGGCTGCCCCGGACGCGCGTGTCGAAGTAGGCCTGGCTCGCCTCGGGGCTCAGCCGGGCCGCAACGCCTTCGACGCGCACCTGCCGCTGCAGCGCTTCCCACCAGAACGTCAGGCTCGCGTGCGGGTTGGTCGCCAGGTCCGCCGCCTTGCGCGAGGTGCCCAGGTTAGTGTACACGACGAAACCGCCGCGCGCGTCGAGCTCCTTGAGGTACACCATGCGCGCCGACACGCGGCCCGACGGCAGCGACGCCGTCGAGAGCGTGCACGTCTCCGGGTGCGCCACCGCGTGGGACTCCTGCGCCGCCGTGAACCACGCGTGAAACTGTGGCACCGGCGACGACGGGTGCAGGGAGGCGCGCGAGAGGGTCGAGAGGGTGAACTGGTCTGCGCGGGTGTTCTGCGCCGAGCCGGCGGGGGCGACTGGTTGATCGGGTTAGTTCAAGGAGGGGGTGTTGCGTGGTGAGCGGCGGAGGTGGTTTTGGACGGAGGTAAGTAATGAGTGGGTGTGCGAGCATGAGCATCAGGCGGTAATGATTATTACATCCTTGATGTCTCTCCCTCTCTCACTCAAGCTGTCACACACGCCCTCACCCACTCGATACTTCCCGCCGCCCACCCACACTCATCTGCCCTCCCGTAGCGAGAGTAGTAGCCAAGGATGCTGGACTTACAAATGAGCTTGTCGCTCTCAGGAGGCGGGTGAAGAGCCATCTTGAGCGATCGCGATAATCGGTGGGCCAGGCCGGGCCTCATATGACTTGCTTCACACAGAGCTCCAGGCTATCCTTGCGCGGGGCCGCCGTATCTGCCAGCTCACAGTTAGCCCGAAACCCCGCCCTCTTGCCTGTCTGATTGGTAGCAAGATACCAAAAATAACAAGTAGTCGCGACACTCTACAATGTGTGGGTAGCCGAGCAATTGGTGTGGATGTCTCGCGGGCTGTTCCTTCGTGGTTGCAGCAAGGTGACAAAAAAGGGCGAGGGAAAACAAATGAGGTGACTCCAATACGAGGAAGTGTTTATGTCATGATCCCACCACTCTTCTGATGCTTTTGGGGGGGAAAATGAGGGGCACAAAGACTCGAATGGAAGACGTCGGACCCCACATGGCACATTCCAAGAGCAGAATGTTCCATGCAGGGGATTTCGGATGGATTTCAGATGCGGAGCCGCCCACCTGCGGCGCAAGCAAGGGGGAAGGGGCCAGGCCGGCGGAGGGGCCTCCGATCGGACCTACCAACCCACCTACGGCCACTTGCTGACTACACACCACGCAGAAAACAAAACATATAAACACACAACACACATATACGCAAACACATAACGGAACCAACGCAACAGACCAAACAAAACATATTTCATTCCGTACATACGACGGGGGGTATCATATCGTAAACGTCATCCAGATACGCAACATACGCAGCGTACGTAACAAACGCACGTAACGTACGAGACGCACTGCCAAAACATGTAAACCTAAATAATCCCAGATATAACCCTCTCAACACCGCGTGATGGCGCGAGCCATGACGTCTGAAGGCGTCATTAAACGCCAGATTTGAGGAATAGTTGCTTCCTACTTTTTAAGTCTATACTATAATCCCGAATCCAGAAAAGCATCGCAAACCAGGAACACCAAAGCCACCCAGTCTTGAGGCTCCAAACTTTTTTGTGATGTCTGCTTTTCTCGTATCTTGGTTTCCCATACACATTAGGAAAAATAAAAAAGTGAAATCACGCTCTATGGCGCCATAACCAACGCAAGCAACGCCATGCGGCAGTACAGACCATATCTCATCTGTGTAACCTGTTAGCCAGTCTGTTCACGCCCAGTTGGGGGTGTCAGAGAACTTACCTGTCTAAAGTAGGCCGCGCGCTGGTCGGTGTCAACCTCGGGGGCAATCTCCTCGTTCCTGGGCAGAGGGTGCAGAATGCACATGTCCCTCTTGGCCGACTTGAGCGTACGGTTGTCGATGCGGTAAGAGTTCTTGACCTTCTCATACTCTTCCACCGACGGGAATCTCTCCTTTTGGACGCGAGTGCAGTAAAGCACGTCGCTGCGGCCGAGGATCTCAGGAGTAAGTTCCTCAGATTCGCACAGGAGCTGGCCAGACTCGACCAGGAAATTGCGCACTTCGGCAGGCAGGGCAAGAGCCTTGGGAGCGACAAGCTGAACCTGCACGCCGTAATCGCGGAGCAGGTAGATCAACGAGTGGACGGTGCGGCCGTAAAGCAGGTCACCGACGAAGGTGATGGTGAGGCCCTGGACGGTTCCGAGCTCTTCGCGGATAGTGAAGAGATCCAGGAAGGCTTGAGTCGGGTGCTCCTTGCTGCCGTTGCCGCCGTTGATGACGGGGACGGGAGCGTATCTCTTGGCAATGTCGACGCTGTGCTCGTCGGGATGGCGGAGGACAACGGCGTCACCGTAGCAGCCGAGGGTGCGGAGAGTGTCCTGGAGGCTCTCACCCTTCTGAACAGAAGAGTGAGAGGTGGCAATGGCCACGGTGCGGCCACCGAGTCTCTGCATGGCGGCGTCGAAAGAGGCCGAGGTGCGAGTGGACGGCTCGTAGAAGAGGGTGCAGAGGACACGGCCGCGGAGCACGTTCAAGACACCCTCGCGCTGAACGCCGAGACGCATCTGCTGGGCGACAGTGAAGAGGTGGTGCAGATCAGCACGAGTGTACTGGCTGACCGAAAGCACGCTGTGGTGCTTCCAGGACGAAGGCTGCGACAGCAGATCCTGTAGCTTGGAGCCAACAACCGGGTGCAGCGGGGCGGGGAGGCCAAGATCCTCGAAACCGCTCATGCTCTTGTTGGGCAAGAAGCCGTCAGCGGACCGGAGCTTCGAGGGCCTGGTGGCGTTGAACAGCGAGGTACGACGGTCGCGAGGGCTGTCGGGGTGCGTGAGAGACTGCATCTGGGGTTTGATGGCTGGGGACATGGGCAGGGCGCCGTGGGTCGACATGTCCTTGCCCAAAGCCGGCAGGGGCAGCAGCTCGCCGTCCAGGCAGACCGTCTGGTCCTGGAAGGTCACACGCTGGACGGAACCACGCATGGTACGACCGGCGAAGGGAGACCAGCCGTTGGTGTTGTGGACGGCGTAGGGACGGTCGATCTCCACCTCGACGCTGGTTCCCACCTGCTCGTGCAGCTCGAAGATGTCCTTGGGGTTGTCGTAGAGACGGGTCTTGATGTCGTCGACGGTCAACTTGCCTTCAGTCACGGAAGTGAGCAGAAGGGGCAGCGCGTCGGCGATGCCAACGTACGGATCCGCGTCCTTGCCCAGAGAACTGGCGAGCTGGTACGGTAAGCTGCCGATGGAGAAGACGTCGATCGTGCTGAGGTGAGCCCAGAGGGCGGCCTGGTCGGCCTCCGTGGGGAGGAGAGCACAGTCGGGGAAGTCGTTCTGGGAGAGGTAGAGCGAGAAGACGGACACGTCACAGGTCACTTTCAAGCCCTTGGCCTTGCTGAGGGCAATGAGCTTGATGTCATCCTTGGTGGAGACGGAGGTAACGTGGATCTTCCGGTTGTGCAGGCTGGCCAGGAGCAGGATGGAGGCCAGGTCCGTGAGTTTGGCATCAGTGACGATGGGCTTGTGCGTGGGCCACTTGTCGAAGTGGGCGGTCACAGCAGCAACCTTGCTGATGTTGCCGGACAGGTGGTTGAAGGGAATGAACAGAGACCCAACCTCACCAGTGACATGGCTGATTTGGTCAGCGTTATCAGAGGTGGCGGTGACGGAGAAGTTGTAGTCGCAATATCCGCCCTGCTTGCTGCTCTGCTGGGCGATCTTCAAGGTGATGGCGTCCGTGATGGAGCCGGTGACACCGACGGGCATGATGCGGACCATGCTGAAGCCGGCAGAGATTGAAGCCTTGGTCACGGCCTGGAGATCTTTGCTGCCAGCGGTGGCAATGCCGGGAACGAAGGTAGCAACGTTGATCAGGCCTGGCAGAGAGATGGTGCGGTGGCTGGTTTGGAAGTCGCGACTGCCAACTTCGAGGCCGAAGTGACGGGCGATGGCCTCGACGAGGATCTTGGCGTTTTTGACGTTAGTGACCAGAGGGATCTGGTAGTCAACTGCCATACGTCTGGTCTGGTAACCCTTGCTCATATAGTTGGCAGGACGACGGTACTTGTTGTTGGAAGGCAAGTTGATGTAGAGATCAATCATGTTCTTGGCCAAGTGCTGCGTCAGGGAGAACTCGGAGCGCTGATCCTCCTGCTCGTTGGCGAGGACCTCGAGGTACTGAACGGGGATGTTGTGCTCCTGGAGGAAGTCAGCGGTGCCCGCAGTGGCGAACAGCTTGTATCCGAGACGGGCGAGCTTGTCGATGGCGGGCAACATCTCTTTCTTGTCCTTGTAGGAACCGATGGACAGAAGGATGTTGGCCTTGGGAATCTTGAAGCCGGTAGACATCAAAGCCTTGAGGTAGGCCTCATACTTGTCAACACCGAAGCAAGCAACCTCTCCAGTGGAGGCCATCTCGACACCCAGGACGGGGTCAGCGCCGGAGAGACGAGAGAAACTGAACTGGGGAACCTTGACACCGACACAGTTGGGAGCGATGGTGGTAGGGGGATAGGCCTCGAACGGCCGGCCGGTGATGGCCTTGGTGGCCATCTCGATCATATCGACACCCATGACCTTGGAGACGAAGGGGAAGGATCGAGAGGCACGAACGTTGCACTCGATGACCTTAATGTCGTTGTCCTTGGCAATGAACTGGATGTTAAAGGGGCCAGTGACGTTCAGGGCAGCGCCAATCTTGCGAGTCGCCTCCTCAATTCTGGCAATGGTTTCGGGCTCCAAGTCCTGGGGAGGCAGGATGAGGGTGGCGTCACCGGAGTGGACACCAGCGTTCTCAACGTGCTCGGAAATGAAGTGGCCAATGACAACACCGTCCTTGGCAACGGCGTCCATCTCGATCTCCTTGGCGTTCTCAATGTACTTGGTGATGACGACGGGATGCTCGCGCGAGACCTCGGCGGCCTGGTCGAGGTAGTTCTCGAGATCCTGCTCGGAGTAGACGGTGTTCATCGCAGCACCCGACAGGACGTACGAAGGCCGAACCAGGACAGGGTAAGACACAGCCGTGCAGAACTTCTTCGCCTCCTCGAAGCTGGTCAGCTCCTTCCAGGTAGGCTGGTCGACACCAATGGTGTCCAGCATACGGGAGAACTTGTAACGGTTTTCGGCATTGTCAATCATCTCAGGAGAGGTACCGAGAATCTTGATGCCGGCGCGGTGCAGCGGCAGTGCGATGTTGTTAGGCGTCTGTCCACCCATAGCACCGAGGACGCCGGCAGCGTTCTCCAACTGGTAGATATCCAGGATGCTCTCGAGGCTGATAACCTCAAAGTAGAGCTTGTCGGCCTCGTCGTAGTCAGTGCTTACGGTCTCCGGGTTGTAATTCACCATGATGGTCTTAAAGCCATCCTGGCGAAGGGTGCGAATGGCGCGAACGGAGCACCAGTCGAACTCAACGGAGGAACCGATGCGGTAGACACCGGAGCCCAACACCATGATGCCATGATCATCGAAGGAGACGTCGCTCTCAGTGGCGTTGTAGGTAAGGTACAAGTAGTTGGTGTGGGCGGGGAACTCGGCAGCGACTGTGTCGATCTGCTTGACGAACGGCATGATGTTGGCCTCCTGTCTCAGGGTACGGACGGCGATCTCGTTGGAGCTCCAGAACTTGGCGAGCTGAC